GGTGTCATGTTCCATTCCTTCTGCACAATTCTAGAAAAACTATCAAGTGACATCTTCCCATCAGCTCTAAATGACTCAATGTATTTCTCTGACGACCACTTGGCTATGCATCTCTTCAGATACCACTCCTTCCTGCAATTGTGATATGCCACATAAGTCTTCACCATGAATGCATTAGCTCTGCTATCCAATGAAGCATACAAACCCTAGGGGCACCTTGCAGCACAATGAGCTTTAACCCTTGTCTTGTCATTTCTTGGCATCTTAATATCAACTCTGTGCTTCAAGCTGTACTCAGTGATTGCTTTTCTCAGTAGTTCTATAGTGGAGAACACCATGCCAACTCTAAAAGTTGGGTTCACCAGGCCATCATGGTTGAAAGATCTGAATTTCAGTTTCATTTCCTTTCACCATCTGACTCACCACCACCAACAACAACTACTACTACAACATAGCCTTTCAGTCTCAAACAAGTTGGGGTAGCTAGAGTTGAAACCCACCAATAGCCCGAAGTCACGGTTCAGGCACTTCAATAGCTGCTTTCCAAGTACTCCTATTTAAACATATATTTCTAGGTATATCCCAAGCTTTTAAATATCTTTTTATTGCCTCCCCCATGATAATTTCGGTCTTCCTCTACCTCTCCTCATATTATTAGCTTGGCTTAGGACTCCACAATGCACTAGTGCCTCTGGAGGTCTCCTTTGGACATGGCCAAACCACCTCAACCAATGTTGGATAAGTTTTTCTTCAATTAGTGGTACCTCTAGGCGATCACGTATATCATCATTTCGAACTCGGTCCATTCTTGTGTGACCGTAAATCCATCGCAACATACACATTTCTGCAACACTCAGTTGTTGAACATGTCGAATCTTTGTTGGCCAACATTCTACTCCATACAACATAGCCGGTCTAATCATCGTTGTATAGAACTTGCCTTTTAGCTTTTGTGGTACCCTCTTATCACAAAGAATGCCAGAAGCTTTATCCTTCTTAGACACTACTTGACATTCCAAACTCACATCTCCCTCCTCCTATACAACTCCACTAAAGTCGCATCTCATGTATTCGGTTTTAGTTTGGCCCAATCTAAAACCTTTAGACTCAAGGGTCTGCCGCCATAACTCTAGTTTCCTATTTACTCCTATCTGGCTTTCGTCCACTAACACTACACCATCAGCGAACAACATACACTAAGAGATATCCCCTTGTATGTTCTTGGTAACCTCATCCATTACCAAGGCAAAGAGATACGGGCTTAAGGCTAACCCTTGATGAAGTCCAATTTTAATCGGGAAGTAATTTGTGTTACCATTGTTTGTTCGAACACTAGTTATAACATTGTTGTACATGTCCTTGATGAGGGTCATGTACTTTGATGGGACTTTATGTTTGTCCAAATACCACCACATAATATTTCTTGGTATCTTATTATAAGCCTTCTCCAAGTCAATGAAAACCAAGTGGAGGTACTTCTTCTGCTCTCTAAACTGTTCCATAACATTTCTTATTAAGAAGATTACCTCTATGGTTGACCTTTTGGGCATGAAACCAAATTGGTTTGTTGATATCTGCATCGTTCCTCATAGGCGCTGCTCGATGACTCTCTCCCATAACTTCATAGTGTGGCTCATCAACTTAATTCCCCGATAATTAGTACAACTTTGGATATCTCCCTTGTTCTTGTAGATTGGTACTAATATGTTTTTTCTCCACTCCTTAGGCATCTTGTTCGATCGAAAGATATTGTTGAACATCTTGGTTAGCCATACGCCCATACTATAGCTATATCCCCGAGACATCTCCACACCTTGATTGGGATACCATCAGGGCCCATCGCTTTGCCCCCTTTCATCCTTTTCAATGCTTCTCTGACCTCTGATTCTTGAATCCTCCGCACAAAACGTATGTTAGTGTCATCAAACGAGTCATCTAGCTGCATCAAAATTAAAGTCTTCATCAGTATTGTCTTCTGTTTGGGTGGGAATAGATGGGCCTGCTGATGCCTCTTTGCCCTTGCTCATCTTCTTTCCCCTTCCTGCACCCCCATCTATGACTTCTTCATCTACATTGTCCGCAAACAAGTCATCATCACCATCTTCTAAGTCGTAGTCACTGTCAATGTAATTTGAATCTTCACTGTCAACATCAGACATGTCTACAGCAGCACTACCATGGCTTGCAACCTCTATGTCACTGTAGAACTCTGGTAGTTTGTCCCTAGACTGCTTCACAGGGCTGACAACCTTGGGTTCACCATCTAACTCAAAAAATTGGTTCAACACATCATCCCAGTCAGTAACCCCTGTGTACTTGTAGTGGTCAAAATAAAGCACAAAGTTCTTCACGCTATCTGCAACTTGTGTCATTACCATACAATCTTCATCAGACGAAAGGATCCTAAGGCCATCACTTAATTCTTTCTTAGGCAGTAACCAATACACACTCACATTGTTAGTCAGGCCATAATCTACCTGCAAGACCAGGTCCTCTATCCACACATAGCACCAGAACTCTACTTCCAAGTTGTCATACCATGTCACTTTACCATCTACATAAGTTCTGTTAGCACCATGACCGCAGAAAGAACCTCCATGATGTACTTCTAGTGAAAATTTGTTGAAACCAGGACCTACATTACACAAACAACAAACTTGATTGAACAATTTCACACTGCAAACAAAATCTACGCTAACAACATGCATCCAAACCCTAGAAATCACAATTTCACCGCAACAGTAGCCAAATTGGACAACTCAACTAAATCCAAACCCTAACTATTCAAAGATTGCGCAAACATTACATAAGAAGTAGTCATCTACGTCCTACAGAGGAGGTTCTTCCTCCCTACAACACTCAACCCGCAAGAGATTAAGTCACAGAGAGACTCACCGTACTCTGGCGGAGGTTCTCCCTCCTTGCAGAAACTAGGAGCCATGCTTCGGGATCTAGATGCTCCTTCCTCCTCTCGCGCCACCTGCCTCTGCCCACCATGTCGCCTTGTCCCTCTTCTACGATGCCTAGGCATGCACGCCGGTGTCCGCCTCGCTACTCGCCAGCGTCGGCCTCGCGTGCGACGCATAGCCCTAGGCGTTCGGTTCGACCGAATCGAACCGATCGGTTCTTCGATTTTTGAAGAAGTTCGGTTCTCAGAAAACTAGTACCGATCGGTTCTTCAAAAAACATGGAACCGACCAAGTTCGGTATTGGTTCTTTTGGTTCAGTTCCGAGTAGAACCAAAAAACCGAACAATACCCAAAATCCATGTAACATGTTCAATAGAGTGCTAACTTCTAAAGCAAGGCATCAGTATTCAGCAAGAGTGCAAGACACTAAGACAACACACTACTACACTAGCACAGCACAACACAAATACTGAAATACATCTAGCCATCCAGGTGACCAGGCAATCGCCAATCAGCAAAGCAGCAAATTTCGGTTAGTTCGGTTAACCGAGGGGGAACCGATTTTACCGAACAAATTTCGGTTCCTCGGAAACGAGAACCGAATAGGGAACCGAGACTTTGGTTCTCGATAAATTCGGTTCGGTTCTTGGTTTTTTCGGTTCGGTTCTTGGTTCTCGGTAAAATTTGCCTAGGGCTAGCGACGCGGCTCGCAAGACCGCGCCTGATGAGGACATCACCTGCTCAGATACAACCACATTGGCAACTTTTGATTCACAGGTGAAACAATTCTTTATCATGATTGTATTTGATACATTTGATGAATTGATGCTGCACCATGATGTGTGTTCATTCTCATTCTCAGAATTACTTACATGGATCAAGGGAATGTTTGATTGCATATGGAAAGCATGGAAGGTTAATGAAGTTGATTGGGGACCAAATCCAAGTATTCCTAATGTCCTCCACTAGGCCACCACGTCACTTTGGTCCCAAGGAAAGAAAGAGTCCAAGTCCAACACATTTTGGAAGTAGAATTCGGACTACAAAATAGTCCCAAATTGCGACGGTCGCCACAACTTCATACGGACTCCGATTGGGACGTTCTAGCACTTTTTGGAAAGCTTATCAAGTCTATTTTCCAACGGATCTAGACTCATGGCTATATCTTATCCGATGCATCTGCAGTTGTCGTTTCAACGCCGGGACCTTTTCTGCCTTTGGTGCTGTGTCACCCTATTTTGGGCCGATGACCCATGTATCAAGTTGGGTTCATTAGGGATGTGTCCTAGGGTTGGAGAATGACCCCAACACCCCCTGGTCGTTCGCCTAGGTATTAATAAGGATTAGAGCCGCCACAAATAGATTGGGTTTTGTTTAGATCAAGTTTAGCTCTCGCTACTTGCTTGTAAGCGCGCGTGTTGGATCAATCGCTCGTCTTCTTGTCTTCGGAACCCCACCTTAATTGAGATTGAGTTCGAAACTTTCATCTACATCTAGTAATTCAGTACTTGCTATACTTGTTCTTTCTAGTTCTTCGATTGCTTGCAGGACGAGTGCCCTAGTGGCCGGTGATGCGCTCCACAAGATCACGACAGCTATTGGAGGTGGTGTATCGGCTGCTAAGGCGCAGCTTGGAAGGCTGTAGTCGGGCTGTCAACATCATCTCCATCCCCAAATTGAGTCATCCACCTTCTCTCATCGAAAGATCGGGATTCACCCTAGCGGGTTCATATCATTTGGTTATCAGAGCAAGGTTTATCGGTGAGAGACTTCGAATCCTTCGTTGTTTTTAATTTTTCCTATAGTCCAGAAAAGCCAAAAAAAGTAGATTAGTTTACCCACAATCCTATAAACCCTTTGAGCCTTTGCTAGCACTGCTTAGTTAGGGCTTGTTGAGTTTATGGTTGCATCGGTTGTGTCGAGTTGCTGGTCTTAGTTTTAGTCCTTTAGAGTTTTGAGTTCTTGTCACGTTCTAGTCACAGCCGTGTGCTACCATATAAACCTTCTGTTGGCTGAATCCGAATACATCCTTGTGTTCAAGTTGGAGTAGGAATCTGAGTTTGTTTTGAGACCAAATCTCACGTGGTGTTGAAGTTCGGGTTGGAATCAATTTTGAGTCCGAATTGATAGCTGTCTTGTTGCTGTTTTGAGTCCAAATCTGAGTACATCTTTGTGCAGCAGTAGTTCATATCTATACTCAACTTCTCCACGTCCAACATATCCATGTTAGCTCAG